TGGACATAGATACATACTGCTCTCTGATAAGGTTGTCCTGGTTTCATGGTTCATCCCCCAAACTGCACAGACTTTGATAACTCATTGGTGGGATCTATTGCAAACAGGTTTGACGTTGAAATATAAATTCTAACATCAAACCAGAATTTTGTTAATAGTGAATTTTAAAAAATTCTTTGCGAAGGTTCAAAGTCCTAGGCCTCTTTGCCCTCTGGTCCATTCCTGGCTCTTCTTTCTTCTCTTCTCCGTCACGGGCAGCTGGTCCTGCGAGCAGCATTCCCCTATCTTCCTTAGGAGCTGGGTGCCAGCTGGGTGTGACCCATGGGAAGAAACAGTGGGAAAGTGGAGAGCTGGAGGAGGGGGAAGCAGGGTATTCCTCACTGTGCCCCCATGCTCCTGCCAAGTGCCCCATGATTCATTTGTTTCTAACCTTCAGTTGTTATTAACACCTGCACAGACTTATGGGGTGGGGGTATGGGGCAATCACGGAAAAGAACAACATAGCGAAGTATAACCTGCACACCGCAGCTCGCTAAGACCAGTGGTATGGTCCTGGGGCAGGATAGTAAGATAGGAAAATTGCTTGGCAAGTGGAATGGGACACTGAGACAGACAGCTGATTCAAACTGGCCCCATCCAGCACCCTGAGCCACCTGCTTCCTTCTCCCTTGCAAGACCACTCCCTTTAACCTTAAGCCAGTGGTTCTCAACCTTCCTAACGCCGCGACCCTTTAACACAGTTCCTCATGTTGTGGTGACCCCCAATTTCATTGTTACAAATTGAACATAATTAAAGCATAGTGATTAATCACAAAAACAATATGTAATTATGTATGTGTTTTCCGATGGTCTTAGGCGACCCCTGTGAAAGGGTCGTTCGACCCCCAAGGGGTCGCGACCCACAGGTTGAGAACCGCTGCCTTAAGCCCTCAGGACAGTGAGGTTCTGATCAGCATCAAATAATCTTAGGAACAAAGCCTCAGGTCTGAGATTTGGTCAAACAAGAGGTAACATCTAGGCCTCTGGTGTTTCAGCTCCAGGCCCAGAAAAGCAGCAAAACAGATGAAGCAACACCATGACTGACATCAGGACCAGATCCTACCCTAGTACTGACCAATCATTAGAGGCCATGACCCTGAAAGGACACACCTGGAAAACTGATGAATATTCTACTGAGATCCTCCCCTGAGACCTCTCCTAAAACTCTCGCCTTTAGAAAACAGATAAAAACCCGTAAGACAAAGGATCCAACATAGGCTTTCTCTCTCTCTCTCTCTCTCTCTCTCTCTCTCTCTCTCTCTCTCTCTCACCCGTGCCTCTCCACCCCACCCCCCTTCTTTTCTAAGGCACATATCTTTGCTTTCTTACTTCAAGGGCCCTTCTTTTGCCTCTGTAACCTGTTTCCTGAGTCCATGCAGCCCAGCTGGCTCACTTATTCCGCCTCTGTCCTTCTTTCTAAAAGGCTAAATAAAGGTCTTGCATTAGTGTTCTTGGCTCTGAATTCTTTGTTTGCCAACCTCAAGGACTGAAGTCTAAGACCACCGCTAACAGTCCCAACTTCTGGTAAGTATTAGGGAAATGAGTGGTGGCCTGAGAAGGAGCATGGAGAACAAGGCCCCTGACAACTTGGGAACAGACAGGGTGGGTAGAAGGGGGGGGTGGGGGAGGGGGTAGGGAAAATTTTGCCAAAAGTATCAGGGCCTCCTTCCGTTCTACCTTTGAGAACTGAATCCCTGTACCCTCCACTTTCCTTCCTCTAAAAATCTGGCTATTTCTTCCCTCTTCCTTCAACTCTCATCATTTTTTACCTGGATTTTTGGCAACAGCCACCTGTGTTGTCTCTTGCAACCAGTGGCTTTCTTGTTGTGGTCTGGTTCTATCACCATGGTTGTCTTTCTAAAGAGCACTGGCCCATGATCTCCCCCTGCCAGCATCTCCAGTAAAAACCTTCTTTCTGCCTGTTATTGTCTTCAGGATTTCTATAGAAAGTTGCAACTTTCCTTTGGAGACTTGTATTTAAATAGGTGCCATTAAAGTTATTTGTCATGCTAATAGAATTCCATTTAAAGAACTATCCATTTAAAGATTACCCAAGTTTTCAATATTGAGACAGATGGCACCGCAGTAGAAGCAACAGTGCCCTCAAAAATCTGTCAAATTGGGGAAAGTAAATGTTCACACAGTAATCAAAAGACTTGTGGAATATGCTTCTTTAATAAATCTATAATTCCATCAAATATTTCCGGTCCTAGATGAATCTGGGTGGGGAGAGATGATAATATGGGATATGATAGACAGCATGTGGACTGGTGAACATAAATTTTGGATTAATTTGGGGGGCAAGGCTCTTCACCTCTGCACCTCATTTTTGTCATGTTATATCAGGAGCTTTATGACACACGGAGCCCACTTAATTCCCTGAAATTAAGTGATATATAGCATTTTCAAAAGTCTTCTTCGAAGTTAAGTTTATGCCCAAATTTCTAATATGCATAATAGTTTATAAACACAGAGAAGAGAATGGAAGAACAAGAAAATATGCCCCTCTAACTGTCCCAATAAATCATGCCATTGAAAAGGGACCCACTCACAGCTTTGAAATCCAGTATAGAGTCCCCATTACTGCTCTAGTTTATATCTCTGGTCTATCTTGGTTGAATGGGTAGCATAAAGCTGATATATGGAGTCTTGTCTTCCTGTGTATCATAGAGAAGAACATCACCGATGTCTTCATAAATGTCATTAATATAAGATTTCTCCTATATCAATAACAATGCTATAATACATTCAACCTTGATATTTAGTTTACATGCCTTAAATTCAAAAGCTCTTCACCCACTGCTGCCCACATATGCTGACAACTGTTCTGATCCCAGCAGGAGTAACAGATTTTATTTCTTAAGCATTGCAGAACTACAACCAGAATGTTATTATTAGATGAAAGATCTCATACTGGCTTTGCGATAGAGAAACAAGAAAGAATCGAGATGAAAATAATCTAGGCTATTTTTAAATGCCCCATATTTTCAATATTGTAATTCAACTTGGTTTTCAAAGGTAACATTCAAATGACTAAAAATGCAAAAGGTATAATTTCTCATTCTCCTGCCATCCACTTCTTTCCAGGCTAACCCAATGTCATAAAATGTAAGCACACATGTTTATTTAAGAAAGTATATATTTTTTAACCCTTAACAACTTATTTTGGAGATCGTTTTGTATCAGTACGCAAAGGAGTTTTAAATTATTTTTTCTGGTTGCATACTATTCCATTGCAAAGATAGGCATAATTTACTTCACAAGTATCAAGTGAATGGACATTTAAGTTGTTTTCAAACTTTGCTAATGCAAAATATTCCCACACTTACATTATTTTACTTGTGGACAAATATTTCTTTCTTTAATATATTTTTATTGATTTCAGAGAGGAAAGGAGAGGGAGTGAGAGATAGAAACATCAATGATGAGAGAAAATCATTGATCAGTTGCCTCCTGCACGCCCCCTACTGGGGATCCAGCCCGAAACTCAGGCATGTGCCCTTGACGGGAATCAAACCTGGGACCCTTCAGTCTGCAAGCAGACGCTCTATCCACCTAGCCAAACTGGCTAGGGCACAAATATTTCTTTAGTATAAACTCCTAGAAGTTGTATTTATTGGTTAAAACTATGTTATAATTTTTTAAGGAATGTAATTTATTCATTTTTGAATTGTGATAAAACATTCAAAAGGGCCCTGGCCAGTGTTTTTCAGTGGTTAGAGCATCAGACTGACCACCTCGAGGGGTGGTTTGCAGGTTCCACTCCCTATCAAGGGCACCTACCTGGGATGCAAGTTTGATCCCTGGCCCCACTCAGGGCGCATGCAGTAGGCAACCAATCACTGTGTCTCTCTCACATCTATGTTTCTCTCTCTCTCTCTCTCTCTCTCTCTCTCTCTCTGATATGGAGTTGGGAAGGAGATCAAAGGAGATAATTGCTTCTTCTTTTAGCTCCCACCCCATTCTTTTTGAGCACTGGCTTTCCCTCCTTCACTTTCAGTTCCAGAATTACCCAGTGCTAGCATATCTTAAACCATTTGAGGTTTCTGTTAAATTCTTGGGGATGAGTCTCAGCTTTCCCCATGATCAGCTTATTTCCACTGTGAGATCTGCTAAGTCAGTCAGAATTTATCTACCTCCAATTTTCCAAAGTACGTTGTTGTTTAAGTCCTCTCTTCCTCCCCATCTTTCCCTGTCTTAAAAAAAGAAATGTCCTGAAGATTGTTGTCTCTGTATTTTCTGAAGTGGTGACAGTTAATGTGCATGTGTGTTCAGTTCTTGCCTTAACTCCACACTGGCCCAGCATATTTCATGCTTTTCTGGAAAAGAGGATAATGATATCCTTGATTCACCAAGCTTCCAATAGGCTTAGGAATCAAAATTTAGTTTTATGCCACTCATTAACTTACTGTTGCCTTGCTGAAAATTCTCTCATTTCCTCATTTTGAGGTAATATTTAGAAATTGGTTTATTTATCCACAACTAAGGCATTAAAATTGGGCCTAAATCATAGAAAATACCCATTCTGAAAAGGCAGTTAACATGTGAGCAAATAAATCTGATTTTTAGAGATACAATTTGCCTACAGACACTTTATTAGAAGAAATAATCATTGAGAAAATATATTTACTTATGAGGGATTTTAAAATTATAAATGATTTGTTATTTGGTCCCCATTTATCAAAAAATGGGCTCTGCTAAGTGGTCTTTTGAAGAAGTTTCACATCTCTTTTCAAGGTCATGCTAATTGGCCAAATTAAAGAACTGCTGCAAGTAATTGAGGTGAATCTGCAAGAAAAAAATAAACTTAAAAATAAAAATGGCACCTGTTTATTACCCAGATATATCTGTTCCCTCTGCTTCATTTTAGTCATAGCTATTTAATTTCCTGAAACAGAAAACAAACAGATTTTTCACTAATGTCAGTACTGCAGAGCTAGCATAGGACAGAAGAGCCAGCTGTACTCGATTTCATCTTATGCATCATCAACAAAATTGGCAGCTAAGTTCTGATTTCAGAGCCTTTATGGTTAATGGTGATGTACAAGCTGTGCTTGATTTTCAGATACAAGACTGATCTTTGCTGACAGAAAAATCTATTTTTGATTTGTAAATTGAGCAAATTTGATGCAAATTTATTGATGTAGGATAAACGCAGATCATGAAGATATCATTTTTAGACACATTTCTAACCCTAAAACCACTTCAGTTTATTATTATTATGAGCATCTTCATCCTGATAACTAATCCTGTATAATAAAAGGCTAATATGCAAATTGTCCCGTCGACCGGGAGTTCAACCAGGGGGCGAGGCCGACCAACTGCCCATAGTCCCTCCCCCCTGCTGGCCCACCCGATCGGCCCTTATTGGGGCGGGCCGGCCGGACCCCACCATGCATGAATTTGTGCACAGGGTCTCTAGCAGCATTATAATGATGGTAACTAAATATTTAACTAAAATTGCAGTTAAGGTTTGTGAATGAGTCATAGTATCTACAAGGCTCATACTTAAAAATGTAACAATGAAAAAGAGCAACAAAACTAATTAGCAATCAATTCTATTAGCATCCCTGTCCTGGGTATAAGGCTAATTCAGAATCATATATTGCAAGTGGTCATGGATGAAAGTCTTCTGAGGTTATGTAAAAAATGGTGGAAAGGGAAAAATATGCTTCCTTGGTTACTATAAGCTCTTCAACAACAGAAATTGTATCTCAGTCATTGCTTAGAGCAGCTATAATATTTTTTAATTCACACAAATCAATGTCATCATCATGCTTTTTAATGGTGTACCACTGAAAGTTTTTTAGAAGCAGCAATAATGGCCTTGTGCAAAATTATTTAGCTATAAAATAGTGTCTTAGATGTTCTTCCATCTTGTCCCCACTTACAAGCCCCACCATACATACCCAGTTCTTTGATGCTGCCTGCTATCTATCCCCTACTCTTAATTCATACCTTTCCCCTTCCTTAGTTTATACCTATCAAGACACAATTTTATCAAAATTTATCTGTCCTTTGTCCAATTCCTTTAAGA